AAGGTTGATATGCATGAGTTATTCTTGCCCGTGGTTTAGAGAACTAATTGAAGAGAAGGAAATTATACTACTGTCCTGTCCTAGCAAGACCTTTAATCTAAGATCCTCAGTCTCTTGAGAGCAATTCCATTCCTGACTAAGATTCTTCACTTACTGTAATCATTTGTGGGCGTTTCCCATATGTCAGTTAAGCTGTTGGTATATTTATACGAAGATTTGATGTTGTTGGATGGTACACATCTCTGTGTGTGAGAATCTATCAATCTCCCCTATGTCATATATGGTTTAAAACTCATGACTTTAAAAATGTTACAGGGTCCAATGTGTGATTTGCTATGGTCAGATCCAGATGATCGTGGTGGTTGGGGTATTTCTCCTCGTGGTGCTGGTTATACATTTGGACAAGATATTTCAGAAACTTTTAATCATGCCAATGGCCTTACATTGGTTTCAAGAGCACATCAGCTGGTAATGGAGGCAAGTATTCCGCAGTTACTTTGAAATATTCTCAGTTTGAACATTTGATACCTAGATATCATTATCCATTTCAGAATGGGCCTCTGTGGGAATATGTATATCTTCTCCAATAAGAGAAAGTAAAAACGCCCGGAAGCCTCATCCTGAAACTGAAGAGTATTAAATTTGTGTAATGTATCTGAAGTCACATGTATTAGTTATCTAATCTCCTGCTCTGCTTTAGAGCATTAATTGCAGTTCTCAAAATTGAGATGGTTGTGTGTGTTTTGTTCTGTGTTGTTTTTTTTGGTGCTCATGTGGGTAAATGTCACATAGTACAGGTTGGACCTCCCTGGTCCAGCATCCTTGGGACCTGACTGGTCCTACATGAGGGATTTTTGCCAGACCAGGGAGGTAACTTCTGGCTCCTCCAAACCCTCCTTCCTTTCTGCTTCTCTCCTCCCCCCTGCTGAGCTGCATGCTGGCTCCCAGCCTCCCCCATCAGAGAGTTCCAGTTTATAGAGGTGCAGCCTGTAATATCAGTTATTGCATGTTGACAGTCACTTAACAGGGTTCTCTGGTCCAGCAACATCCGTGGTCCAGCATGGATGTTGCAGGACCAAGGAGCTGTGGTGTGGCAGAGAGTCCCAGAGCCAAGGCTGCGATGGCTGCCCAGAGGGTTTGGCAGGGCCAGCAGGACATGGGGAGCCAGCTGGGAAGCTGGTTCCTGAGGTCCAAATTTGACCTCCCCTGGTCCAGCAAAATCCCTCATCCAGGACTGGTTAGGTTCTGAGGGTGCCAGACCAGGGAGGTCCAACATGTAGTTACTGTGAAATCTGTACTGATTTGATAAATATGCCTAAATGTTTGCATGACACTTTTTAACATGGATTTGTGTAGGTTTCATACATTAAACCACACATGCAAAAGCAAAAAGTGGTTCTGAAACTTTTTTTAGATGAACATTCTGATTTTGGCTACACTAACACGTATCCAATGTTCCTATTTACTTCAGTGGAGTTACTCTATTAAATACTGGTATAGCTGAGAGAAAATCCATTGAGATTATAGTCATGCTTAATGTTAACATTCTCTGATCTTAACTAGGGATGTCATTGTGTGGATGGCTACACGATGAACCAGTAAGTCAGTCAGCTCCATGCACAGAGCCCTGAGCCTTCTGACTGGGTGGGGCTGATTAATCACTTGTGCTTGGGCACGTTTGCTAGGAGCAACTGGCAGCACAGAGTAGATCAGTGTGATGTGGAGGGTTAGCTTGGGCATTTACGTACATGGGAATGAATGACACACACACGGTGTCCATCCCTATCGCTCCATACTTGGCTTGGAGGGTAGGTCTTTGTGAAGAAGGCTTTGTTCATGAGGCAGAGCAAGAATGTAACATTGTTCCCATTCTTAGTCAATTAAGATTCCTTTACCTTGTCAAAGTGGTGTAAAGAAGCCTTATTCTAAATTATATCAACTGAATCCTGGGCTATGAAGGTCTGTCTTCTTTCTGTCTCTTTTGCCTGTGTGGAAATGTACAGTGGGGTCAGATTACAAGTCAGAATCTATTCTCAGGATAATGATTAGCAAAAATGCATGCCTATCTTGTGTGAGCACCAAAATGAAAGTAATAAGTGAAAATCCAGGATAAGTGAACGTGGGGTCTTAGTTTCGTGCATTTAGGAAATACTGAACAGTTATAGTGACTTTTTTCTGTGTGGTAGTTTAAATTACCAAAATAAGCTAAATTGGTGTGACAGATACAGAATTTAGCAAAATGTTGTGTTTTGGCAAAGAATTTCCCTAGGAGTATTAATAACCTTAGATCCCTTATCTAGAACAGTGGTGCTCAACCTTTTTTAATTGGCGACTCCCAGAGCCGGGAAAAATGTTGTTGAGCGTCGGGCGCTAAGCTGGGAAAACAAAATGGGTCACAACCCATGGGTTGCGCACTGCTAATCTACAAGGGTTGGTTTGTTTGAGCCATAATCTGTAAACCATAATTTGAGACTTTCTCTTTAGGCAGCTGGAAGAAACAAAGACATGGATGTTTGAATAGCATTTTAATAAAGTCTTAATTTTATATTTTCCATCTTTAGGGCTACAACTGGTGCCACGATCGGAATGTAGTAACAATTTTCAGTGCTCCAAACTATTGTTATCGTTGTGGCAACCAGGCTGCAATCATGGAACTTGATGATACTCTAAAATACTCCTTGTAAGTATATTTATTTAAAAAGCAGATTTTCATTGAGCAATGTAGTTAAGAAAATAGTTGTAAAAACAGATTAGTTTATATTGCTGTGGATGAAAGGATTGGTAAATGTTTAAAGCTAATATCAAACAAATGCATCTAAAAAAGTGAGTGGTGGCTGTCTGGACATCAACTATAACTAATTCTTAAGTTGCAGTTCTGAAACTTGGGTTTTGGAACTCGAGCATTTTTTTTCTTGAAAAGCTGACATTCAAGCTCGGTACAGCTCTGAGTTCAAAAGTCAGTATTCTTCTGATGTTTGGCTTTCAATATCAGAGCTTATTAGAATTCTTCATGTTTGTTTTCTGGAGTGTGGGCTCATATGTTGAAACCACTTAGTTTTCAGCGCAGGGTCCAAAGACTATATATAAAGGGGTCTGCAAAAGGTGACTGAAATTAAAGCTTCAGAACCAAGAAAAGGGATTCAATTTTTCTGATAAAAGTATGTAAACGTCCCAGTTACAGTTCAAAATCCAGAAATGGTATTATGTGTTATCAGAGAAGCCCACAGGTTAGCACTGTTCCCCATGCTGTGCATGTGCAATATTTATGCAGGTTGTACCTCCCAAAACCAGGAGTCCCTCTGATCCAGCAACATCTGTGATCTGGCAGGACCACGGGTGTTCCTAGACCACAGAACCCAGGAACAGTGGGGTGTGAGCACGGTAGTGGAGGGCAGTGACTCAGCCGGGAGTCCTATGTCAGGAGGCATGGCAGGGAGCTTTGGCCAGGCAGGTGGCTGGGGAGATGAGCTGGGAGGCCAGTGGCAGAGGACCTTCTCTGGTCCAGCAAATCTCCTCATTTGAGGTCAGTCAGATCCTGAGGGTGCTGGACCAGGGAGGTCCAACCTGTAGTTGAATTCTGTTCAGTCAAAGGGTATGTAGTAGGGATATGTGGACCATATTTTGAATTTCTAACCTCAATTCAAAATTTATTAGGGGTCCACTTGTAGACTTCCCAAATGCTCCCTGGTTTGTGGGTATTTTTAAGGTTAACTGGTAGGGGCTGAAGCAGCTCCTAACTTGCCATGGGCGGTGAGGGGGGGCCCCAATTCAGACAGGGCTGTTTGGGGA